TATGGGTAGTGACCCCAGCTGCACGCGGCTTTTGTCTGGAAAAGCCGTTGTAGATCACTGGCACTCGTTGACCCTGAAATAAAAATGCCTTGAAAAGTGACTGACTTCAGTAAAAAACAGGAGCATATGATAGTGGGTTGCACACAGAATTGTGCTTTGCCAAGCCGTTAAGTCGTTTAGTCGTTGATATACTGCTAACACAGCGGTGGTTTTTAGGTCGAGTACATACAAATAGCGACACATCTTTATATGCTCTAGTATGGCTTCGACTTTGACCCCTGAGAAGAGACGGCCATAGGAAGAGTTGTTCAGAGTTCGTGGGTTATCAAACACGGTGATGACGTATCTTTACATATGTGCCATCCCGATATAACACGTTGAAGGGGCAAACACATGATCAGTTGTAAGTCGTCGCACAGTTACATCAATGCGATAGCTAGCAGAAAATATGTGTTGCCGCGCGCAGATCTGCCGCACGCTGCGAGCACGCAGCAAGTATTCGAGCCAGGCAGCAATAACATCAATATCTGCGGATGTGCTCGAAGAAGTGCGCTCTTGTGTGCGCACTCCAGGCTACATTCGCTAGTTAAGATGCCTGCCCGGCAGCGTTCCAGTTTCCAGCGGCCGCTCCATGCAGGCCCCGGCAGAGGCAATATTGACCGGCGAGGGGGCATCGGTGGACACTCCGGACCGGCTCTTCTCTCGTGGAGCTCTCTCCCTCCCGTGACGCGGCCATGCGTGCGTGCTTTTGGAGTCAGCTGGATGGAAAATAATGATTGTTCGTTTGCATTGTCATGTTGTAACTGTGTTGGGCATAGGCATTGCAATCTCTCAAGCTGATTCCATCAAGCGGAGATTGATGCACATTCGGTAGAACACTTCAGTCCACGAAGTTTTCAATCATCAGTGTCACTCATCGAAAGCCTCTAAACAGTCCCGGACAAGTTTAAATATTTCAAGGAGGAAAGAGGAACAACAGAGGCACAGCAAAGGCAATCCACCCCGCCCCCTCCTCTTTTAACCGGATTTTTTTTCGTTTTTCACCATAGCTGGCCCTCGAGGAATATTAATAATCGGCGTGGTGCGTACTTACCCAGCTCTGCCACCTTCTCCCTTAATACGCGGCCGGGTGGCCATTTGGATACCCTTCGCATGGATGGGGTTTATTTGCCCCCCCCCCCCTGAGACCCCAGAAACTAAGAAAGCTAGAGACACTAAATTCATAGGGTGCGTTGGTCTGTACGTGAACTCACTTAGGTGGGCTCACAAAGCCTCAAACGTCGAATTATTGCCACATAACCCATGTTTGTTCAACAACGTTATTTAGCCAGTACCTCACGGTAAGCTGAAGGTTGATAATTAGCAGCACTCTAACCCTAAACTAAGAAAAGCAGCATTGTAACCCTAAACCAAGAAAAACAGCATTGTGACCCTATTAGCAGCATTGTAACCCTGGTAATGCCAAAAACAAGATTGAGCACATTGCCTGATTATATCAAGTAAAAAAATTGACTGTTTCAGACTACCAAAAACATTGGAGCCGCCAGGGACATTCAAATGGATGGCCTCTTTATGAAATCAGGCCTTGGGCAAAATCAAAGACCGATTCAGGCTTTCAGCCTTACTGTCACACATCTGTTGAAGTCCTTTCGTCTCTCGTTGACCCCTTGACATCGTGAATAGGAGCAAGGTTTTGCAAAATCAGACCAGGAGGGCTGAGCAAAAAGAAAAAATGACCCAACCTAACCCAAATCCATCAATGAACAGGTCTTTCCCAGAATTTGGCCTATATTTCTCCTTAAGTTCGGGGGAGGCTGGAGGCCAAATTGGAAGCTAGACCCCTCCCCCAACTGAAAAGAAACTACATTCCTGATTGTAAGCTACTCCAAGTCTGTTCAGTCACCTCATAGCCTGGGAACATGACGTTTTCAACCAGGGGTGCAGCTCGGATTTTCCTTAGGGATGCCGAAGTGCAGAATTCGATGGTCACGCATCGCGCCGATTTTCAACTTTCTGTTGGGAGCCAACGATAATGAAAAACCGGTTTGTTCTTGGAAAAAGCTTCCGTGCCTGCATGTTAGACGAGACGCTGTGTTATTTGGAGAGATATGAACTCAAAGGCTTAAAATTTAAAAAAAAAATTGGTTTTGCTTCTGTCCGCAACGGTAACTTTGGAACAAGTACTTCATAGACATATCGTGCTTCAAACCGAATATTTCAGTTCTTTAACACCAAAACGCCGCGGGCGTTGATTTCGTTCAGCCCTGACACTTGGTTCCTCATTGCCGGCAGCCAGCGTCACCGAAAACATGTACCGTGATGGTGCTGTGCTTGGGATAGTCTGATATGACACGAAAGCTCTGATGGTGTTCCTCGCCGTCCTTCCTCCAGAACACTGTTAACGGGTGCGCTGTGCACTTATTCACTTCTCAGTGGAAATCTTGGACGGCGTCTTGCTCTACGAACGAAAAGGTCTCCGAAAAATATCCCTGTACAATCACTTTACACTCCTCGACCGTCTGAGTGAGATCAGCAAAATGCACTGACCGCGCTTTGGCCTGACAATGACAGCGAGTTAGTTTTACGGTTTGCTGACTGAGCCTTCTGAAGCATTCATCCAGATCCACAACCATATCCTGAAGGGTACATCGATCGGTGCTTGCCGACCGTTTGTATCTCGACCGAATCTCGACGTCATCAGTCTCATCCTCGCCTGCATATTTATGCATCAACATTGATAAAAACCCCGTCACTTCTTCTCACTTCATCCATGACCAAAGCTTGATATACCACACTATGCATGCATGTATGCAGAGCGGACGATAGCACAGAGAAATAAGGGAAAAAGTCGGCAGTCTTGTCGGCATCTTGTTTCAGCAGGCATCATTGTTTTTCGCAAAACATCTCCGGGAAACGCTGACTTAAGGCCCCTCCCCCACCCCAATACTCCTCTGAGTGCTCTCCATGCATTGATACAAAAAAGGCGAAAATATATATGATTCTGGGAACTAATGTACTGCACATAATCGGGTCAATCCGCAACCATTCGACTATTTCCAGACCTTCGTCAACTTGCGAGGTCGAATTACAGGCTGCGTGTGCCTAAAACACCAGACCACCCTCCCACTCATCCGACCGGCACACCGACACATACCTACTGAGAGGAAAGTCAAGTTTGTCAAATTTTGCTGCGAATCCTTTTTCTGGTCTGACGCTTTAAGGCGTCGGATAAGCCTGAATGATGGCTTACTCGTTATACCGCTGCACCACGCGATACCGCATGAGGCAGGTTCAGACGGTGTTCTGCCGCGTGTCTCGGACCACGTGCTCATGTTTGTGCATTAGCTCAGAACGTAACGCAACAGGTTTTCCAGCAGTCAGAACGCTGTGCAGCAGGTAGATATTAAGACACCATTGCCGAAGTGATGCCGCAATGCCAATGCCGCCAAAACCGAGATCTTATTGTGTGGCGACCGTCGACAGTTTATACAAATCAGGGGTATCCGTCCATAATGTTCATGAATCCGGTCTTACAGTGTTCAGAACATGTGCAAAATCTCGGAATTGTGATGGACCTATCTCTGTCACACAGCTGCCATATAGATCAGGTGGTGAATAAATGCATTGGCATATTAATAGGTATGATAAATGCTAAGCACACACCTCCTGGAAACGCGTTGCCAGAGACCATCGATACTCTGATTCTGTTCCATGTACGTTATTGTACCTGAGAAAAGGGAAGTGCAAGTCGCTCAAACACCACAAAGCTGCAAAAGTCTTCAATTTCGCTGTCAGGGTCATCTCAGGTTGACGGGAATATGATTACATATCGAATGTGGCCAATTCATTAGGCTGGCTACCCGCAAACGAGTTTATTTCTTACTTTGATGCCTACCTCCTGCACAACATTCTGATCACTGCAAAGCCTGTTGTGTTGCGATCTGCGCTAATGCACAGATGTGAGCACGCGGCTGAACACCGTCTGACTTACCTCGTGCGATATAGCGCGGTGCAGCAGGAGAACGAGTAGGCCATCACTCCAACATCACTCATCAGGGGTTTGTCGGACGCCTCAAAGCGTCAGCTCAAAACTGGGATTCGCAACCTAGTTCGCAGACTTGACTGTACTTTCAGGAGGCGTTTGTCGGTGTGTCGATGGGATGGTTGGAAGGGTGGCCTATTGTTCTAGGCAAACACAATTTGTTGCGAACATGTAAGTTGACGAGGGTCTGAAAATAGAGCAATTGTTGTGCATTGACCCGATTATGCGCAATACGTTGCAATACAATTGCGCAATATGTGCAATACGTAAAATACGCGCAAGGTTACCTTTTTAAGATAATTCTGCATTCCGTAGTATTAGTATTCCCCAGTATTTCCTTTTTCCTTTGAGTGCATAGAAGGGGCTCAGAAGAGCATTGGGAGGGGGGGGGGGGGGGAGTGGGGCTTCAAGTCAGCATTGCAGAGCTCAGGCCCTTAAAAGTATATTAAGTGACACCCCTGTCCTTGGAGCACGTCGAAAAGCTGACGGTGAGTGTTTTACCGCAGAAATGCAAGCATTGCACTATGCAATGCGTATGAAGCTCACTTTAATTTCTCCGGATTCATTTTCTCCTAAGGGACGAATAGGGATCGTTTACTTACGTTACGGGACGTTGCGCGACCTTGATCCTCTAATCAGATCCACGAAACATGACAACTTTTGAAGTGTCCTTAAGAAAACATCTGAAGAAGAGCCGCGAGAAAACCATGTCTCCTTACACAAATCATGACTGTGCTACACTTTTTGCAGACATGCATTTACCGGCCTAAGAAAATTACCTAGGATGTCATCGATTGCTCCCCTACCAGTCATAACGCTGAGTTCTTTATTTAAGCAGCTCACCTGGGTAAAGAAAAACCTACAATTTAATTATCTCAACCCCAATTTTGTGTTCCAAATATTGCGCTATTGTTACGTATGTAGACGTTTTTGGAGCCGTTTCCGACGTCGACGTTCAATCACATGCGTTTGCCGGCCGGCGTTAAGAGGAAGGCTGTATAAAGTTGGGCGTTTCATTGGAGGGAACAGGAAACTATCCTTTTTGAAGTACTCAAAGGCAAGATAAGTGTTGCGAAGAAAAGTTGACCAGTCCAAACCACCAACATCAGCCAAGACTTGCTTACTAGGGCTTTTATCCCAATTCGGAACTGCTCACCAAGATCAAGATGGCTTACCGAGGAGCGCAGAAAGTTCAAAAAGTGATGGTTCAGCCCATTGTATCCTTTACACTGTCACATGGAGAGTTTCTTGGGATGATCGCTCCTGCATTATGCTACTGGATGAATGGAATGGCTGCATGGACAGGCAATGCTTGGTACATACTGTACAAATGCAAGGCCAAGAGGCTGAAAGGAGCAGTGCATAAATTGTACGTGACAGGGGGTTGGCTGAGGGTTCTGATGGAGTGTAACAAATTTGTGGCAGGGAAGAGGGGGGAGGTATTGGACAGTGCAATTCTAAGGTTGGGTGTGGTTGCATTATATGCCAAAATCTTTTAAAAACAAAGTTTGAGTCTTTGAGTGAGACATTGCTTCCTTGCTTTCATGACAAAAGAGGATTATTCAACTGAACCACTTGTTCCAAATTTTGAGCTATTGTAAGATGTAGATATCTTCAATGCTGACATTTCACATTCAAAGTGTCATTTGCATATCTGGGTGAAATAGGGCTCAAACAGAGTGTTTCTTGAGACATAACACTTAACTCAGTATATAGAGGCAGCAGTAACCTAGCATAACATTGTGTGAGCTGAGTGGAAGGAGGGTTGAAAGTAGTAAAATAAATGGGAAACATAATCTGTGGATAGCTCTCCCCCCCCCCCCACCCCAGCTTAAATGAGTTGTGTTCATGGCTTTAGTTGATACCAGGGATATAGGCAGGTTTTGCAATGGGGAAATAGGATAAAATAATAGGGAAGGACACAACCCAAGTTTTATAGCTGAGAACTATTTTGCCATGCAGCAGGTGCACACATTTTCTTGTGTATTGTGTAATAGCATTGCATATCTTTTGATCAACCTATTTTTGCACGTGCCTGTTATTTTTATGGCAGAGATTCATTCAAACATGCATCAATGCATTAAAAGTTTGATAAACAAGCATGCGCCCCTGGTGCCCCTTGAGTATGCACTGGGTGGTAGGATTCCTGGATACAGGCATTTAAGTAAAATGACCCCCTTGTAATTATTTTTGGACATAGGTAACTGCTAACTTCAACTCATCTTTGTCTTGTGCTTAGCAGGAGCTAGATACATTCCACTGCTTCATAGCATTCATAGTTTTCATTTCTTAGTTTCATATATATTCCACTGTTCGAAGCACTTCATCAACAGATGGGTTGTGCCATACATGAATCATAAGAGGTATGAATCCTATATTCTTATGTCGTACTATTTCCAAGTATTATTTTTTGAAATCGTGTGCTACAGATAAGTGTCATAACAAATGATGCAGTAACATTGTTTTTCTTCAGCAACTCCATCATGCATTGCTAAAATTCATTGGCAAACTTCAAACATCATCAATAATAAGCAATGATGGTTAAAAGCCCATTTTATATGCTAGCTATCTGCACACAAAAAGTACTTCCAGACAACATCAGTTTAAGAAACATTGTGAACTGTGCTAGTCCACACTAAATTGTTACAATACCTGCTCTTTTCCTTTTTCATAAAGAGATTAATCAAAAGTATTCACCAGAAAGCTCACTGGAGCTGTCAGGTTCAGGTACCTGTGTTTTTGTGGCATTTGGATGGATTTTGTGTCATAAACCTACATCAGCAATATTGCTTATGCCTATATCTATATTGTCAAATGTGTGTTGGGATATTGTGTCAGCAACAGTCAATGTTGAGAGCCATGGAACTTTTCCTTAACCAGAACTTTCAGAACCTGATATTCAGGTACCTGCAAAACCGTAGCCGAGTTGCAGTCTGGCTGTATGAGAACGTCAACATGAGGATCGAAGGCCACATCATCGGTTTCGACGAGTACATGAACCTGGTGCTGGAGGAGGCCGAGGAGGTCAATGAGAAGCACAAGACCCGCCGCCAGATCGGTCAGTTGTTCCAAATGTCTGTGTGCATGAAATGTGTGGGCCATTCCTTGTAAAATCGTGAAGTTTGTCCCTTACTATATATATTTTGGATGAGAGCTGGTGCAGATAGAGCGCATCATTTAAAAGATGGTAGCAGGCTCATGTGCAATCCCAAATGACATCTGGGGTGAGAATCAGAAGTTCTTTATATTCACCTTTGCACAGATCCAACAGTCAAAATCTATGTAACACAGTGTTAAGCCTGATGTGAGCTGACAATTTTCTGCACCATTAGGTGGCTGTTTCCTGTCTTTTGTAAATGTGCAGCAGGCCCATTTTGTGACATTGTTGTGACAAGAGGTTGAAAATTGGGCATCGCTCGTGCATGCAAAGTTTTGGATTCACCCTTTGACCAACTAAATGTTTGTTTAATTGTTGCATTGCATGCCTTAACACATTACAACATGACAAAAGGGTGGTGGTAAAGTAATGAGGTACTTCTTCGGATATGCGCCGTTATGCTTTCCCAATATAGAATTGGTAGGTTTTGACTTCTTTCTTACGAGGGTATATTTCAATTGTTCGTTCCGCCGCAAAAGGCGAGATGAGAGCCTCATCTCGTGTCAGCACAACCATGCCAGGACGCTGGTGTTTGGTCGCTGGAATACGCTCGACTGTTGCATGAGGAGAATGGAAGTGGGTTCACAATGGGTTCCACATGGCCACGCTTTTGAACACCGTTAGCGATAGCCATCATCGCCATGATGGTCATGGTTGCCCTCATGTGTGTTACGGCAATCAGTTTATCATTTGCACGATCACCTATTCAAGTCGTGATCATCCCCACCCCTTCCATTGTTATTTTTGGCTTGTTTTCGTCATGATGTTTTTGCCACATTCAGACAAAAAGACATCAGGCCAACAAAGAGCCACAAGGGTCCATCGAGGTTGGCCTACTCCGGGTTCCGTACTTGGCACGAATCTTACCACCTGACCTGCCTGAATTGAGCCATGAATGAGATCTTAGACCGAAAGAACTTGTCCAAACGACTTTTAAATGTTGTTGGTGAGGGACTTCGTACAACTTCGTTTGGCAGTTCGTTCCAATGATCCACTACTCTTCGTCTTAACGACATCTGCCTCTTCATTGCTCTACTCCTACCTTTTGCTAATTAAAACTGGTTTCCCCTAAGTGTTGGACTAATTTCCAGTGCTGTTGTAGATCTACCTTGTTTGTCCCTCTCATAATCTTGAATGCCTCTGTCAGATCCTCTCTAAGTCTACGACATTTCAGTGAATACAAATCCGAGGCCTCAAGCCTATCCTTAAAGTCTAAGTCGCCAATTCCATTTATCACCCCACTTGTTTTTCGCTGTATTCTTTAGCCCATCTATGTCTTTTTCTGGAAGCATGGGGATTAAGCCTGTACACAATACTCTACACGTGATCTGACATACAGATATCCCGCTGCCTTTTGAGTATCGGGACTGGCAGTACAACTGCGCTATTTCCTAGTTAATAGATACTGACCTGGGAATGGGCACTGGTTGCCAGGGTTGGGTTTGGCCCGGTTTGCCAAGTGTCGAAGCGTGCAGTTCAGATCCCAGACTGTACCAACCACACTTTGGTGACGAGCGTGTTCATGCAGTACACAAGGCACGCGTCCGTCCGCACGCGCGCACATCATTGCGACGTATTGCTAAGTATTGAGTATGCTCAGAGTTTATTGAATCAAACTGATGGTGTCCTGTTTGACGTTATTTGCCAGGTCAGCGAGACGGTATGTCTGAGATTGGTAGACGGAAGTGGTGTACAATGCATTCTAGGCTATCTACCGGTGTTCGTTTTTAAATGTGGCCTGTGAGATGTGGAATCGGTTTGGCCAAATATGCCAATTTCGGTTGTGAATTGACGGATTTGACCTCATCGATTAAGTCAATAAAGTGTGTCAGATTAGCATAGAGGCATGCAACGCTCTGCATGTCGAAAGCTCCCATTAAATCCCAAAATATATGTATGACTTCATCGCGAATACAAGTAAGTCATGTCATGTGAAAAAATATATCGCCGTAGACTGGATAAACCTAAATTTCATATTTCAATATGTCATGTCAACGGTGAGATCACTGTCACGCAACGACGCTTGACGCACAGATAAAACAGTGGTAATAGCCTTATTCCTGGAAGGGAAACCAGGAGAATGTGGATATAGATGGGTTCAACCCATTTATGTATCCATTCCGCTGTTTTTTCCCCGAGCAATAAGGCTATCACTACTGTCTTATCGATGTGAACAATGCTCCTCGCCAGTGCACTGAACAACTTGCATTTGACGCACATATAAGATATTTATTAAGAAGTTGTTGACTCGGGTTAAAATGATCAAGTGACATTAGTTCTATGCAACGATTATGAAGATCTGAAACCGTTAGATCAGTTACTGAGTGTGAACACCGAATGACGTCATTTGGCGACAGAGGTCATCTGCGCCTACAAATTACGCTGCGATGACTCTTCGCAAGGCACCCTGTCACCACTAACTTCCCCCAAATCTTAGGCGTCGGGCCAAAACATCGTCGGCGCTGGGGATAGATGTCACGTGACATCTACCCCCCCCCCCCCCCCCCAATAATCATTGTGGGATTATTGGCACGGGTTATTTTGTCACGTCTGGCTGGTGCATGGAAAGAAACGGTTCCCATGGGCAGATGGATTCCACGTAATGCAGTGATTTTTTATTCAGGTATAATAGTTGTGGAATGACCAACTTGAAGAGAAGCACTGTGTCCGTTGGTTTCAGTTCATTCGCCCCCAAGTAAGTCATGTTTGATGTTTCCAGGTCGAATTCTGTTGAAGGGCGACAACATCACACTCATCCAGCAGGTGGAAAGTGGTAATGATGCGTAAGCAGTGGCAGATGTGCGCTCATTCATGCGACATTTCCATCACACGAACATTGTCTTGCGTTCCGGATGAGCAGGGAAGCGTCTTGCGGACAATGTGCGTTGGGGAAGGACTGGTTCGTGTTGGCCTCATTTTGTGTAAAAGTGGACCCGTGTTCAGTGCAGTATATAGAACTGTCGATTCCAACTTGTTTCTTATCAAAGCAGCAACACCCGTTCTCGATTTCGAGGATGCCTTTTTTTACTCAGCATGGCTTTTCTGTAAAAGGGGAAGTGCCGTTTATGAGTCGCATTATTGTGGTCGACAACCTCGATCTAGATAAGCGTGTAATTCTGCTTTTGGTCGCACGTGGTGCAGTGCTTCAGTACAAGGACACTTTGTGTTTGACAATGTTGTGAGTGCGATTTTGAACATTTGGATCGTTGTCACCAAACGCCAGGTCCGGGGATCTTTTTCGGCGCTCTCGGACGATGTATGATGCGTGTCGTCGGTCAAGGAGCCGAGGCTGAAAGCGTGTAACGGCTGGATGTATGTAGCGGTCAGATGCACCGCGTCAAGCCCGTTAGCGTGGGTCATCTCGTACCTGCTGTGTAATACACAAGGCATCATTTCAACATGCAAATCTCGCGTACATTTGGCGAACGGATTTCACTAATACAGAACAGATGTGCTTACTACTGGCTTTTGGTAGATGTAAGCTACATCGGGGTAGGAACGACTCAGTGAACGTCACCAACGGTCCTGTCTACAGTAAGGCGATTTCCAAGACCTGAGATTTAATTGTTGCCGGCCAATGGTAGACTGCCACCTGGTGGGTGCACGGGAAGAGCTCGTGTTCGGTCTCCTGGCACTTGTATAGATGTCGCCACGCGCGTCTCTGCTGCGTTTTCCAGGTCACATCTGCTTTGAATGGTGTTGAAAATATTGATGGCAGAAGAAACCAGTGAACGCTCCCACAGTGGTGTTTTCGTGCTTACGTATTGACATTTCTGCAGTGGTGCAGGAGATCAAGAATGTGCATGAGAAACAACGACATCTCTGCGCTCTGGCGAAATTGTAAGAATGTATAGCCAAATGCCAGTCTGTTTTAGTCGCTTTCTCTCACTTGTGTAGGAAATGCTGGTACCGTTTTGGACAGACAGGTCACGGTTCGACTGGCACAGCCCTCCGAACGCGCTCCGTCACAGTCTCCCTCCAAACTGGCGATACAACGGTGACTGCTGTTTTACAAAGGATGTTCGGGTTCGAAACTGTCAGCCTAGCGGACATTTTAGGGCTTTTTTCTTCCGCCAAGACGCGATAACAATAAGTCTCAATTATTTTTGTGTGGTACCAACCCCTGTTTTGAGACCCTTATCAATGCAGGGAACGTCTAAATAGCCACCACGATAGTTCACGGGGGTCTTGCCTTTGACTTTGACATGGCGAGCGCGATGGTTGACGACTTGCTGGGCCTTAACATAACGATTGATGTACTGAGTCTGCGCAGTTCGTAATAGTCAGTGTTTCCCCGCCCTGTGGGAGGGGCCTCGGACGCTTTTCCTAGTTCGGCTACCTTGCTCTCAACACACTGTCCCGCCCGGACGAAACATCCCCTCAATACACCAGCGCTGTGACCGCGATCGCTGACGTAGCTCTGACTCGTGCGCTCGGGCCACTGCCGGTACCCTGGCGGCCGTTCCGACAAACAGAGCCCGGACCCTGCTTGACAATGTGCCGCCAGATGTCCTCTCGCACGCCCCGGCGTATAGCGGAACTTTGGGCATGGCTCAACGCATGATCCACATCATCGCCGCCTCGATGAGCCCCACAGGCCGCACGCCGGCCGCACGCCAGGCCACGAGTCACATCAGACACATGCAGAGCGCCTGGGTTTCTTATTTCTACTCGCTTCGTTGGCGCGTGTGACCCTGATACGGCAAAATATTCTGAAATAGTGCTGCCACTCGTTCCGTTGGCGCGTGTGACTCGATGATAGGGCAAAAGATCCTGAGATAGTGCTGCCACTGGTCCGGGGCGAGTCGCGGCGGATAGCTTGTCAGTCCACTCGGCTTAGGACAGCCAGGAGCTACGCCACATTCACCCCTTTAAAGGGAGTGATGACCAGGAGCTACGCTACATCCACCCTTTAAAGGGGGTGATGGCCGGGAGCTACGCTGCATTCACCCCTTTAAAGGGAGTGATGGCCAGGAACTACGCTACAGTTACCCCTGTGAAGCGGGTGGTGGTCATGCATCCACACACATGTCTAGCTCCATGACGATCGAATGACCTCCGTGGTCATCGACTTCGAAAGGTTCAAGAACACCTGAAGCGATCATGCATTCCAATCAGGAGCTTGGTTTTGATTTATTTCGTCCATATAGATGTTAGCCATGATCTAGAATTTTTCGCACTAGCTTGAACACCTGGCAAAGCCTGGGTAATTAGGTTAATTGTACTGTAAAGCAACGATTTGAAAGTCATGTATTCGGTTTCATATTGCAAATGCTTGCCTTGTGTGATAAGTATTCGTCTTTGCACTTAAGCTTCACCGTCGGATACGCTCCAAGAAAATTGACGGCCAATCTGGGTGCAAATCATTTGCGAGAGCCAAGTCAATGCGGTATAAAAAAACACCACCAGGCGTTCACCTTCCAGGCAACCAAGAGCAAACAGTACGATACAAACTGCAGACAAAAACAGATGAAAGTACATTAGGGGGGGGGGGGGCAAGTACTGATACAAACGGCAGAAATCGCGCCTCGGTTTCAAATTGTTCATTAAGTGTCAGTGTCACGACACGGGTACCACGTCCTATTGCATCGTTGCCTGAACAGCTGTCCAGTCAGCGTGGCCATATCCCCGAAGTGCAGCACTACACGGTCCGTTATTTGGCCTAGCTACTCCCAACAGCGGTCGTATACTACCCTGTCCCTGTTAAATGTGGGTTATCGAATTGTTGCGATTTCTACGCAGTCAAATAATGCTCGTGCTTATCTATAGTGTAATAAACCAACGGGACCTCCCATTATTTGAAACTCAAGAATGTTTTACTTCGTCAGCATTAAGCCATCAGTCGATGCACGACATTTTAGAAGATATGGCCTCTGTTCTATTAATACGAGGCATAAAGGTAAAACCTTTGGTACATTCTACTTATAGACAAATTTGGATTTCGCTCTCTTCCTTTACATTTGTAGTTCAAAGAAACCACAACAGTGTTTAATATCTACTTTGGTGCACTACAAATGCCATCGTCCAGGTATTTTGATCGCTGCTCTCTAAGCAGCTTCACCAGGCTATTTTGATCGCTGCTGGCTAAGCAGCATCACTGGTATTAGCCAAACAATGCTGTGTATTACATGACAAGTCATTTTATGCACACTGATGTGTACGTCTAAAACTAAGACGACATAGCATATTGCAATGACTTAGTACTTGCGGGTTAATTGCGGGTCAGTATTGTAGTAAAACGGGCTTTGATGGGTTGGATCTCGACCTGAGCGGGACGCGCTGGGCTGTGGGCTGATATTTTGGAGAAAGCCGCATCCCCAGCACGTACTTTTCAAAAGGACGGATTTGCGTTACTCCGTTTAACTTGAGGCATAAAGCAGGCAATGAAGGATTGTGATCTGTCACCGAAACGTTCACTGTTGGCAAACGCTCGATTCTAGACGCCAGTTGACACAGGATAGGTGGCTGCTGATTTGCGATATGCGATTTGCTGATTTGCGATTTAATTCGACGAAGATGCCACGGAAACACAAGACAGTGAATTGTACGACAGATTGATACGGATTCTGTAAATAAATTTTGCTGCTTGTCCATGTGATACGAAGCCAAACTATAGACTTTTACAGGATCCCCCATTTAAACCCATAAAACTGCATCCCCATGTTTGGCATCACTAAGCACATGATGAAATGGGCGAGAAAAATTACGCCGAATGACGGAGCTCTGGTGGCTCCAGACGTGTAGCGGTCAGCTATGTAACATGCTCAGCTGTAGAGACCACTGGAGTTGTTGACAATTTGTGGGCGATGATGAAGATGGCGCGGGGAAATGACGGCTGAAAGCTCATCTGATTGTTCAGAAGACCGCACTGATGGAGCCTGAGCCTGGGCCCCGGCTGTGACGGATCCTGCAGCTTTGACGTACCCGGGTGGGAGCAGGCTCGATGGGCCCCACCGACACAGATCCGGTCTGGTCCCGGGTGGGAGCAGGCTCGATGGGCCCTACCGACACAGATCCGGTCTGGTCACAGTCCTGATGTGGCAGAACCATGGCTTCAGAATCCTTCTCGGGGACTTGCTGTCTACAAGAAGGATGACAAGCTACACACAGAGACAAGCTATACACATAAGTGTATGGCTTGTTTCTATATGTAGTGTATAGTGCACATAGTGTATAGTACACAGAAGTGTATCGCTTGTCTACTAGGTACGAGTCTCGAGAGGTAAGAAAAGCTCAGAGGTAAGCGAACGATGGCCAACAGTAAGCCTTTGTTGACAGGTCGCAGGCTTTCATCGGTCGCGTTGCGCTTCATGTTAAACGGGTGCACGCAAACACTTTGTTTTAAAACTTACGAACCCTTCATATTGAGACGACTGATGTCATTGGGAATGGGAAGAAGGCCGATAGTCGCGATTCTATTACCTTTTAAACAATGGCGCCAAAGACGTCTGGAGTTGTCTTTCTGGACCAGCACGGCAGGGGCCGACAACTGTCGGTAGCATCGGCACGGGCTGGACCGGCCGGAGGGCGCTGCGTGGCGCACGGGGCCGGCCGGTTGCGAGCGCCGCGCCGCGTCGGTCCGCCCGGTTGCGACCGCATTCGCACTGCAAGCTACACATACACAACATGGCGGACAGCAGAAATCGCGAACCAGCTACCCGTATTTCGAGAAACAGCTTTTAGCTCTCTTCTTAACCGGCGGGCGCTAGGACGATGAGCGGCTCCGAAGGCCGAAAGCATTTTCATGTCACTTTATCTGACAGTCGTTCGTACGGCATGTGCCTGCATGGAAATGCTCGTAAACTCGGATGTTCGTAACGCCGATGTTTGCAAATGCCGATGTTCTTATTGCAGATCTTCGTGCCGGAGATGTTCTTATCGCAGACACTCGCGATGTCATGTGTTTGTAACGCGAATGTTCATAAGCGCCATATTTGTATGCGCGAGTATTCGTGTTGTGAATGTTTGTACGTCACCATGTTTTGCATCGCAGACGTCGCTAAGAGGTCATATTTTGTTCCAGCATGCTTAAAAGTTAATTCCACGTTGTCCTTTAATGCATTTTATTTAAATTTGGAACTTGAAGACCTCAAACATCACTTAGTTCACTTGCTCCTGAGTGCACAAGGCTCACAGAATGGAAGCCTACAAGTATAACTTGTAACAAATAACATTCAACATGTGGCAACCTTACAAATCGGCTTAGACCAGTATTGGCCAGTAGCCGCCGAGTACAGTTTTGGTATAGTTATCTCTTGTGTACACCGTGGCACTTTTCCTCTGAATCACTATCAGCGACGGCTATCCACGAAATTCAGTTAAAAGATTAGGGCTATCAAAAACGGTTTATACGCCAAGATTGAGCAGAAGAAGCTTCTCATTGGAAAGACCGAGACATCACTTTTTCAAAACTACAAAATATTGAGCAATGGTGCTGCCCTTCCTCAAACGCCAATGC